GTTTGGCACAGGTGAATCAGGAAATGTGTCCCTCCACTCATTCTGGCAAGTCATATAAGAGTTCTGCTTGTGAAAAAGACACCCTTACAATTGAACTGATGAAAGACAGCTGATGGACTGGCACAGCAGTTTATAACATGACATGACCTGAAGATTGCTGTCTTCTGGGTTGTTGTGCCATGTCATGTGCAGAAGACAGCCATCTTCAAACTCACCGCTGTGATAATATCAAATCCTATGTATGACATGACCTGCATGGGTCCTTGTATAGTCACACTATGCTGGGTATCTAGCTTTAGTGCGGTAGGCGATATGTACAGAATTTCTGACAGAAAATATCTTGGATAGAAGCCACATTGCTCATAGGATAACATGAACAGCTGTCATTAGGAAACTTGTTGTGTGGGTTGTGATGATAATGTCTAATGGGAGATTTTGGTATTACTGGTGTTGTATCTTCAAGTTCTACTACCAGGGAATTATTGTAAGTAGGAATGTGCAAATACCAACAAGCCAAAACTTGAATTTTTACGCACCTGAGAAAATGGACTTCAACTATAGATGACAAACTGTTTCTAATATATGTTTTGCATATCTGGAATTAGTTATAGTTTAGCTTTCATGAAAATACGGTACATCATACAAAGAGGAAGCTGGTTGCATATGATAAGTTTCATGAAAAAATTTTCTTGCTCATCAACGCAGGAGTAACTACTTTAGCTCTGCCTCTATCATGTCATCAAACAAGAAAAGTGTTTTGTTCCCTTGGTGATATCATGATGATGAAATGGGGGAGGGGGTGATTCTGGTTACATGATGTCAAAACTGAATTTTACCTTACAGAACATTGCATGCATATAGCAAATGCAAACATTTTATTGAAATTATTTAATACAACTGGTTTCCTCTGTGTATGACCTGTATAACTCTTTCTGAAAGAAGTCATGTAGACATTTTATCATTAATACTTCTAACTAATAGTATAATCAGCTAGAGAAGAAATTACCTTTATTTTATGGAACCCAAAGGTCTATTACTATGTTCACAAGAGCCTGCCACTAGTCCCTATCATGAACCAGTTGGATCCAATCCACACCCTCAAAATTATTTCACTAAATTATTAAAATATTTAAAAATAACCGTCAATCACAATAAAATTAAAAGATTAAAATATCATATTATGTTCCCTATCGAGTACTCGATTTACATATGGGACTTACACAACATGTTTCGGCTATATATAGCCATCATCTGGTGTATTATATATAAACTTTTCACTGAATTACTTTTTAGGATTTTTAATGTTTTTTCT